TTGTGCCTTCGCTTCATCAATTTTATGTTTGAATTAAGATTTTGTGGACTTGTGGGAGTTTCATTTGTCGTTGACGTAATATTGTGTGTAAATATAAGTTAACTATTCATTAACAACTTCAAAAGAATAATGTATACGTTTCATATGTACGGTTTTCAAACGAATATCCCCTCCGAAGTACCAAAGGAAACTCTTAGTTACCTACATTATTCATACGATAAGCAATCCTCTATTCACAGAGCGAATAGTAAAGGAATATATTCGTTTTATCCTATTAAGAACCACTGAAATGAACAATATGTAATGTTGAAAATGCTATATTTCATGAAAGCATATTTTTACAATTCAGCAGTTTTCAGATGTATAGAAAACTGATTTATGGTATTTACACTTCATTAATGAGTGTTGGGTTTCAGATTTAGCAGACAAAAGTTTATGTAAATAAAGCAGACACGCTTGACAGAAGGACAGAAGAACGCTCATATCAGGTTTTGTTTAGAGCAAAATTATTAATCTTTTACATTTGATGACGCAATCTTAACGTGCCAATGAATTTACAGCACAATGGGTTGAATAAAAAAAAACGAAAGAAGGAGAAATTTATTTTGATGCTTGTGAAATGTGAATAATTATACTTTGAGGGTAGACCAAATGATTTTTCTCGACAACGGGTAGAAAAGTCACACGCATATCCCATAACAAATCAACGACTGTCACCAGAAACATACTAATGATATACTCATTTATCTGAAATTGGTTCGTCTGTTATATGTTACACTGCCGCATGTTATTTTTTCTTAGATGATCTCATGATAAGTGGTTTAAATCAAATTTCAATAAACAGATCGATCATCATTGTGACCCTGATCATTGACAGCTCTGCATGTGTTATAGAATTACGTCAAACACGAATAGAATAAAAAGGATCCTACTTACACTCGAATCAGACCAACGTGGACTACGCCTACACTGTCAGTAGCTGTTAAGTCATTTCTACGCCTACACTGCCAGTAGCTGTTAAGTCATTTCTACGCCTACACTGCCAGTAACTGGTCAGTCTTTTCTACGCCTACACTGCGAGTAGCTGGTCAGTCATTTCTACGCCTACACTGCCAGTAGCTGTTCAGTCATTTCTACGCCTACACTGCCAGTAGGTGTTCAGTCATTTCTACGCCTACACTGCCAGTAGGTGTTCAGTCATTTCTACGCCTACACTGCCAGTAACTGTTCCGTCATTTCTACGCCTGCCAGTAGGTGTTCAGTCATTTCTACGCTTACACTGCCAGTAGCTGGTCAGTCATTTCTACGCCTACACTGCAGTATATGTTCAGGCTTTTCTACGTTTACACTGCAGTAGATGTTCACTCATTTCCATGCTTTCATTCGGGAGTGTGACTTTCCTTGTTTGAATCGAAAAAGCGGGTGCCATTCATGAAGCAAAAGACGCTTATACTCTTCCGGAACATCTGGTCTTATTCTCCTTGTACTTTTGCAAGCGTCTCCGTGTAAATATTTCTTTTGTTCTTATTTTTCCTTGTTTTATTGACTTGGAGTTTTAATTATGATTTTGTTAAGAAGTTGGTACTTTTCTTTGTTGTTTCCCTAATCCATTCTGTCTTTCCTTTCTTATCAATAAAAATGGTGTTCTTTGAAGAGTCACAGGTTAGAAATATTTTCGATGTTACATACACAAGAATTCCGACAAAGCTACACCCCACCTTACTTCCAGTACCGAAATACACTTGCCAAAGCCACATCCCACCATACTTCCAGTACCGAAATACAGCTGTCATTGCATACAGGTATACCAATCCCATAAAACATTAAACGAAATCGAACTGTAATGTTTTCACCTTCACTATCATTCTCAAAACAAAATCACAGCTTGCAATAGAAAAGGAAACCGAAATACAGCTCAGTGTTTCTCGATTCTGATGTTAGATCCATCCTTCATGTTTTACATGTTTTCTGTGTTATTATGCCTGTAGATAAGGTATCCAATCCTTGTCTGCAGACAGTTTTTACATTCCCTGCATACAGATTCAGCCAGACTTGTCCGAGAACAAAGGAAAACCTACTTACACATCTTTCTAGAGATATATTGGTTAATGGTGCTCCAGTATTACAATGATTTCGATTGTCTATCAATTCCTATCACGGATAAGGACCTCCCTAAAGTAAACAAACAACCTTTTATTGTTGACTCTTTCTAGAGATATGTTGGTTAATGGTGCTCCAGTATTACAATGATTTCGATTGTCTATCAATAAGGATAAGGACCTCCCTAAAATAAACAAACAACCTTTTATTGTTGACTCGTCTTGTTGCTCCACCGGACCTTTTTCAACATTTTGTGCTGCCATTTTCCAATTCAAAATGGAGCTAGTGGTCGAAATAATCGATAGAGAAAACACACTTTAATGAAAAGTAGTTAAGAAAGCTTTTGCTGAAACTGGACAGTAATAGGTCATCTTAAAAGAAATTACATTTTTTTCATCGTATAGAGAAGGAACGTTACCACAGTCTTAGAATAATGTTTATATTACAGTTATTCACCAAAGCAAAAAAGGTGAAATCCAACTTGGGACCCATTTAGTCTATCAAGGAACTTAATAAACAATGGAAGCGCTTATCCGAGACAAAGTTGTATTGCATATGTGAAAAAATAACTAGTAACAACCAATTTGGTTTTCCTGCTTTGAAGATTGTATAAAAGACACTCAAGTGAATAGCACATTTTCATAATTTAGAGTGAGATACAGTAGAGGCAAACAATTAAACTGCATCATACAGTTGTTTCGTCCTTCTAGGACTCGTCGGTGATGCTAAGGTCCTAAAATTTGAAGTCTAGGAGGTGACAAAAGAAAACGTTAGGATGGTAAAACTTAAATTTCATGAAGTATTGAAACTGGAAAAATACCTGGGAATGTCGTTTGATGATAAATTCAACATATACATGTACGTTCACTAAATTATATTTAAACATTATCTGAAGCATTAGTTAGACCACATTTGGAATATATAGCATGCTCATGGAACCGCAAAACCAAAGACATCCAAATGATGGAAAACATTCGAAGAGCTAATTCCAACATTTACTGAACTATCATATAGCGAGCGTCAACTTCAGCAAGAATGAGAGAAGACTTGATGTATGTACATAATATAATTTAAAACACTTTGATGAAAAAGTTGAGTTACTCAAACCTTTGACAAAGCTAGAAGAAGGTCATAACTTGTTAACATAGACCTAAGGCAAAACGTCTTTACATAAGGGTTATTGAAACATCCCTGTCATAGATTCTAAAACTGCCAGTACGTTGGAACATATATTAGGTAATACATTACAGATGACTTTTAAGTCACATGTTTTGTGCATTTCTTATATCAAATCATTGAAATGAAGTAGTTTGTAAATGTTGGAAATTGATATGAAGGCTTTTAACATGAATCCATCAAATTTCTATTACTTTTCTGTTAAATTGCTATTAAGAAAATGCATATAATTGACATGATAGTTTTTTCCCTAAACGTTTGAGTAAATTTATTTTTCTGTTCCTCTTTACCTACCGCACACGGCGTATTGACTATTTTAGTTTAAAATTTCAACTACCTGCCGCTCGCTGCATTCTGCCTCTTGTAGACTGCTTATTGTTTAAAATTCCTACAGCCTACCGCTTACTGCATATATGTTTATACTTATATCATAAAATGTTTGCAACCTACCGCTCACTGCATATATGTTTATACTTATACTATAAAATGTTTACAACCTACCGCTTACTGCATACTGTCTGCTGTATACTTATACTATAAAATGTTTACAACCTACCGCTCACTGCATGCTGTCTGTTGTATACTTAAACTTTAAAATGTTTACAACCTACCGCTCACTGCATACTGTCTGTTGTATACTTATACTATAAAATGTTTACAACCTACCGCTCACTGCATAATGTTTACAACCTACCGCTCACTGCATACTGTCTGCTGTATACTTATACTATAAAATGTTTACAACCTACCGCTCACTGCATACTGTCTGCTGTATACTTATACTATAAAATGTTTACAACCTACCGCTCACTGCATACTGTCTGCTGTATACTTATACTATAAAATGTTTACAACCTACCGCTTACTGCATACTGTCTGCTGTATACTTATACTATAAAATGTTTACAACCTACCGCTCACTGCATACTGTCTGCAACTTCGATACTATTCAATATGATAAACAGAATATCTAAAATGCAACAGGATAATATTTAAGTTTTCTTTATATTCCATTGTAACTCCGGTGACACTGGATAATACTGAAGCGTTACAAATAATGCAGTACTAAATTACTCATAACTGCACCATTGGTTGACATTGTTAAATAGGTCATATTTGTATTCGCTTGTCGCTTGCCTTCAATGTTTGTCAGGCTGTTCGTGATGCCAAAATCAACCAATGTCAAAAGTGAATAAACAAGAACAAAATCATACAATACATATAGTAATAGGTCCAACAACAAATATCAAAAAATGAATTTTAATGAAATACCGAGGTTTTTACTTCAGAAAGGTTAGAGTTGTGACATCCTGCGCCTGTGCACTTGGCGACCGGTGTAACGTTGAAAATTGACCCCCGTTGAAAACGGATCCGGGGTATATTTTCAACGTTGAAAAAGGAACCTCAATATTCACATACAAAAGCAGGTTACGTCGATTAGGCAATACATTATATAAGTAGTTAACTTTAAGAAGTTGTCAGTTGTCGATATATCTTAAAAGCAGTCATTCGACAGCAAATTGACACAGAAGGTTAAGAAGAAGAAGAAATAACACTAAGGAGTAGGCGGTAGGCGATAGGCTACCACAGAAGGCGGTAGGCGATAGGAAGTAGGCGGTAGGCGAAAGGCAGTAGGCAGTTGGTGGTAAGCGATGTGCGGTAATTAGTATGATCTATGCGGTTGGTAGTCGACAGACGGCAGGAAACAATAAGCAGTAAACAATATGCAGCAGGCAGTAGGCAGAAGACAGGAAGCTGTAGCAAAAACAGTCGTGGCGAAAAGTAGGCAGCAATAGACAGTAGGCAGAAAATATACAAGTATGTTGTAGACAATAAACAACAAAAATAAAGTTAATATTGGACAGTACGGAGTAAACAATGGACAATTACATTATACCGAGTAGTAAGAACGATGTACTTAATGGAATTCTATTACTTCACTTTAAAAGATATGTATTCTAAAAGGAAAGAAATAAATATCATAGATTATAGTCTATGCTATAGCGATGGTTTATAGAATGAAGCATGACATAAACAATGGAAAGAAATCAACTGTTCTCTACCACACAAATGTTTAGGAAATATTAAGCAGATACACAGTCCATGTCTTTGTACTATATCCGATTACTAATTTCGTTTTCATATCCCAACAATGATGTCAATCATAGCGATCTGGAATTTAACCTCGACGAAAAAAATCAACGAAACCTAATCAGATTGCGAAATTCATGCGTGAAAAGGGAGACAATCCCGCCTATGTATTTTGATTAGTGATACATGCACTATACAATTACTGACAATACCAACTACTCCCAAAGTGAACGTAAGCTGTAATTGGTTTTGACACCTTCATCATGATTTAATAGAAATAGATAGAATTAAAAAAAATCTACCTGATGCACATGTAAATAAAGTTAATAGAACGTGTTCAAGCGATTTGTCAAAGTTTTTTCTTCTCTTATATATATGTACACATTGAAATGTTCTTACCTGTGTATGTTTACGTGTGACGTGTCATATTCAAAGCGGAGGGTGATTTTCAGAGACATGTATGACATCGAATATAGAAATCTACATGAAAGTAATCAGGGTTTTGAACAATCAGGTCTGGTAATCAATTCAAATTAATATCGTTGATTGTAACGCACAATCGAATTATGTACGTTGATAAATTTGATGTAATATTGTATATTTCGCTAGGGTAGCAAAATATTTTGAGAAAGGGAGAGAGAGAGAGAGAGAGAGAGAGAGAGAGAGAGAGAGAGAGAGAGAGAGAGAGAGAGAGAGAGAGAGAGAGAGAGAGGGGGGGGGGAGAGAGAGAGAGAGAGGAGGGGGGATGGGTTGTAGGTGATTAGAAGTAGCGACGTAGAGTGCCGTAATATGTGTTGAAACATGTTTTTAGAAATATCTGTGTAGACGAATTCTAACTAAAGGATGAATATACCTGTATGAAATTTGAAATAAAATGTACCTCTATGTATACATACCTATACGATGGTTTATATTTCAATTATTTGATTATAAAATCGAATCAATATTGTGATATCATAGTAATCAATATCGCAGCAATTTATATGACAAATTGTAACGAAGCTGTCAAGAAGATCACACGCTACGAAACTATTTTCAGAATTAAAGGCAAAAATAATAATAAGACATAAGATAGATAAAAAAAACGGAACGATGAGGTGTCTTAGTTTGTTTTGAATGGCTACTATGAACTGTGTATGTAGGTTTATAGGAGGCGACTAATGTGAACCCAGTGGTAATACGGAAGAATTGTTTTTTGTCTTTTAAATGGTGAAACATGGCAGATTAAAAAGGATTAGCTGCGCCGCTTATCCCCCTAACGTAATACATGAACGAGTTACACATATAGACATCTCCAACCCTATCACCGTTTTAGCAGTGTCCTCATTGTAGGCGAGTTGGGTACAAATATATCGATCTAACCAATCTAAGTTTAAAAAAAACAATCCCGTCAGAATTTAACTTTCTGTTGAGAGTATGTATAATGTACCGTTTAATCCCGTAATCCACAGTAAAAGTTAACAGTGAAATAGCTGTTGGCTCGTCCCATATCAAATTACAGAACTCGTTTAATGCATACAACATATCCTGACCCCATCATGTAAAATCTGGATATATGTATGTCTAATACCACTTTATCATGTCCCGGTATATATACATTGAAATTCTTTCATATTTTCGCGTTATCATAGATATACACAGACAGACATAATTTTGATAATTGATTTTCTGTACATGGGACGTCTCTTCAATTAGTAAAATGTGTAACAGAAACGTCACTTACTCTAAATATACGATGTAATCTTAGAAGAATGAAGCCCGACCGTTGGGTTTATTAATCACCGGCCACATTTTTAATGAGACACTTCACGTAAATCACCAGTAATTGTATGCATATAAGATTCACCGTTACAATTATCCTTGCTTAATGAATATGATATATATGTATGTATTCCCGAGGTAGACCAAGGCAGATTTTGATTTCTGATTTTATTAGAATTGTATACGTATCCGAGAAGTCTGCTATCTAATGGATGTCTATTATTAATTCTAATTTTTATTATTTTTTATTACTTTTAAAGAGCAGCAACTATATAATTATGCGTTATTATTATGTATACAGAACGGCCATACTTGGGGTTTAAAGGAATGATGTATATCTATCGATCAATTTGTTATCATTATTTTAAATGTGAAGTGTATCGAAATTGTTAGGACGTTGAGTAACGCTATAACGGACATGTGTGAAAGGAAACAGTACAATGTCCATTATTCAATACACTTGTCTGTTTAAAACCAACTCCGCTCGCGCAGAAACCAGCAATAAAGGTTTATGTTTATCTTATTTGAATAATATATATTTTATTTTCAACCAAAAATGGATGTGTTTTAAAATCTTATGCGTGTGTATGTCTTTTGACAGTTGCATAAAAAATTCCTGTGACATTCCTTCATGATTGAATAAGACAAATGAACGTAACTATGTATTGAATGATAGATATTATATTACTCTACTGGTATCTTTCACGTTGATAAATGCCAGGTTGGACTGCCACAAAATACTGGTCATATCCATCTTGTTATATTCTATATGACTTATGTATTCAGATAAGTTACGTATTCCCGGTGTGGACGAACTTTACACGAAGTGTCCAAATATCAGGTTTCAAATGATGACAATCTAGTATAGTTCGAGGCCCACCCTTGTTACCTCTCACCAAAACCCCGGCGTAGGAGCATAGTAGATCTATTGTCAGTGTCGACCATAAATAAACACGAAACGTCTGTTCTGATCATTTAAATGGCTAGTGTTAAGTCTGTAATGATAGTATAGAAATAATTTTCATAAATTATTGGATTGGTTTATCTTGCCAACATGTTGGCGAATTATTGTACTCTGGTTGAATAACAAACAGTGGCATACCTCTTCATTAGGGAAGATATCCCCACAAGTAACGAAGGATATTATATATTAGATCGTCCGTTTGTTACATATTTTCGATGTACGTCTCGGACCTTGACATGTTACATGTTCACTATCACAGGCTCTAGTCAAAATCTAATATACTTGTGGACATGTGTATGTATCATCGGATTAACCTACAAAAATATATAATATGACAAGAACCTGTGCTTACTACCATTACATATAAATATTTAAAACCATAAAACCTGCACGAAGTCAATATGAAGTCCGGATGTTGCGGACGACGACTTAAACTGTTACTTCATGTTAATCGTGCCAGCATGAATTTAACACAAACGGTCAAGGACGAACCTCGAGGAGAAATGTTTACCAGCATACTTAAAGATCATATTTGTTATTTACATATAGTCTACGGATTCTAGCGTAGATTTATTTATTTAACTTGAACTTTCCAATAAATCTGTCAAGTGTAGTATTATAATATGAACACTTTCATTCCGTACATCTTGACAACTTTAAAAGTCTTGCAGTTAAACATCTACTGTTCAGAACAGAGAGCGATGAGAATGAAATCCTAATGTAATAATATCAAATAAACTCGATAAGTGTGATTGTTCCGAAGCACTAGTCACCGGTACTCACGGCAACAATAGATCTAAAGTCAGAAATATCCAGCGTAATTACTTTAGCACGTCATTGTTACACCCGAGGGGACTTTTTGATAAATTCCGCAAATCACTCGAGCACATGTGTACGTAGATGTCTTGTAAATATATATAGGAACAATGCCTCTTTATAACGTACAAGGCGTAGTATTAGATGGATTTTTACATTAACCTTATTTGTAACCGACATTAACGTTTATTTAAACATCAGCGTGTCCCCTGGCCAGGTCTGACAGTGCGATTTCCACTTATCTGTCGATCAGAATGATTTTAATGGCATACCACATTCTGGTCGGCTTCAAACTTTAATTCTTAAATTTTAGTAGACATTTTTGTTTTGTTTTTGACTACCTCTTGTTATCAAAGTCACACACTACACAAATGTATCAACATTGTATAGCAGTGTCTCAATGTCATTCACTACTAGTATCCACATTGTCTGACAGTGTCTCAAGGTCATATAATACTAGCGTCGACATCATCTAACAGGGTCTCAAAGTCTCGTATCACTAGTATCCACATTGTCTAACATTGTCTCAAGGTCACATACTGCTCGTATCCGCTTTGACTGACAGGGTATCAAGGTCACATGCCATTAGTATCCACGTTGTCTACAAGAGTCTAAAGGTCACATACTACTAGTATCCAAATCATCTACCACAGTCTCAAGGTCACATATTACTAGTATCCGCTTTGACTGACAGGGTATCAAGGTCACATGCCAATAGTATCCACGCTGTCTACAAGAGTCTAAAGGTCACATACTACTAGTATCCAAATTGTCTACCAGAGTCTCAAGGTCACATACTACTAGTATCCACATTTTCTGACAGTGTCTCAAGGTCACATTGCAATACTAGTATCCACATTGTCTGACGGTGTCTCAATGTCATATAATACTAGCATCCACATCGTCTAACAGGGCCTCGAAGTCTCGTATCACTAGTATCCACATTGTTTAACATTGTCTCAAGGTCACATACTACTAATATCCACTTTGACTGACAGGGTATCAAGGTCACATACCATTAGTATCCACATTGTCTACAAGAGTCTAAAGGTCACATACTACTAGTATCCACATTGTCTACCAGAGTCTCAAGGTCACATACTACTAGTTCCATATCGCCTAAAATGTATCCCTGTGACATCCTGTTGGA